AGCAAGGATCTGAGGTTCCACTCCTCCATATGAGAGTTGACCTATTATTCCTTATTTCTGAGCACAGTTTTTATGGGCATTTTCTCAGCCTAGTCCTTTTATTCTTAACTGCCTATTTGAAGAATCAGTTTTGTTTATTTGAGGGGGCAGAGATAGTACAGGGCTCAGCCAGGAGCTTGCCTTGGATATGCAAACTAACCAATCCAGTCATATCTTTTCTATCTGTCTTGTACACCCAGGACACAATATTCCTTGGCCTTAATCCCCCAGGGCTAGTCACCAGGGACCTAGGGACAGCTCTTAAGCCCCAAGACCTGCCAAATAATTCAAAGTAGCCAATCTTAAACTGTTCTCCTTGCTTATCCTGCAGAAAGACCAATAAAGGTTTCCCCCTCACTCCTGTTTTCTGTGTCCTGACCACACAGAGGCTTTTCCATGTAGTCCTGTGTGTCATGCAGTGCCTCCTGTTTCTAGGACCTTTGTGTATAATAAGCTTTGTTTTCCTGAGCCTTTCCTATGTCTCCTTGGGTGGTCAGACCTAACCGACCGTCACATAAAAGAACACAGAACACGTAATTTTGTGTCTTCTCTCTTTTTTTCTATGGTTAGCATGGCTAGAAGTTTATTGATTTCATTGATCTTTTCAAAGAACCAAATTTTGGTTTCTATGATTTTCTCTATTTTCCTCTTTTGAATTCCACTGATTGCTGTTTTAATTTTTATTATTTCTCTTCTTTTGCTCTCTTTAAGCTTAAATTGCTCTTCTTTTTCTCATTGCCTAAGGTGCAACCTTAGATTGTTGATTTTAGATTTTTCTTCTTTTCTAATATACTCATGTGCACTTAGCACTAAGCACTCTAAGCATTGCTTTCATTGCATCCCTCAAGGTTTAATAAGTTGTATTTTCATTTAGTTCAAAATGTTTTTAAATTTCTCTTGAGACTTTTTCTTTGACCAATGTATTATTTAGAAGTGTGTGTTTAATATCCAAAAATTTGGGGATTTTCTAGCTATTTTTTCTGTTATTGATTTCTAGTTTAATTTTACTGTGGCCTGAGAACATGATTTGTATGATTTCTGTTATAGGTTGAATTGTGTCCCCAAAAAGACATGTTGAAGACCTAAACTACCACCACCCCAACCTGTGAATATGACCTTATTAGGAAATAGGGTCTTTGCAGATATAATCAAAGTAGGATAGTTAGAATGAGGCCAATAGGGTAGGTCCACAGAGTAAGTGCCTGGCAATAAGCTTTTTAAAATTAATATATGCGCCTGACATTAAGCTTTTGATTCCTGGGACATCCATTTCAAAGATGTCCATCTTGAATAAGCATACTGCCAGCTGGGATGATACAATTGCTAGCTAAAAAGCTAGATAAGAAGCCAGTCCTCCCTCACCCATGAGGCTCCCCTTTTAGAAATCCTGGATAACCTAGATAACTGACTGCTGAGTGACCCTGTGTTTGCACCCTAATTCCTACTCTTTATGTTTCAAAATTCACCAATGAAAAGTCAACCTGCAAAACCCTAGTCATCCCACCCTCAACCCCAATAAAGGCAGAACCCCAGGCTGGAGCTCTCTGTCTCTCTGTCCCCGACTCTCTCTCTCTCTCTGCATGGCCCTCAGGTTTGCCTTGTATCCTCCAGACTTGTGAGTAATAAACCTTGTCTTCTCAAAGTTTTATGATGATTGTTGCTGAGGTGCTTCTTGCAACCATAAGAGCCACAAGGTCTAGTCCAGCCACAACACTGGCTATGATTGGGGAAATGTCTGTGTGTTCGGGATGTTTGTGGGGGCTCACCACAAGTAGTAAGGGTCCAGATGAGTGCTCCTAGGCATTTCTAGCCCATAGCATGCTGTCACTATCAATAAACTGAGACTGACATGAAACAGAGTCCTAAGCTAATAGACTGGAGTCTTTAAGAGAAGAGAAAATGTGAAGGCAGAGAGACACATAGGGAGAACACTGTGTGATTACAGAGGCAGAGATTGGAATGATGCAACTGCAAGTCAAGAAATGCCAAGAAGTGACAGCCGCCCCCAGAAACTAGGAATTGGCAAGGACGGATTTCCCCTACGGGTCTCAAAGGGAGCATGGCCCTGCCAACACCTTGATCTTGAACTCATAGCCTCCAAAATTGTAAGAAAATAAATTTATTTTCTGTTAAGCCACCCAGTTTGTGGTATTTTGTAACAGTAGCCTGAGGAAACTAACATAATTTCTATTCTTTTAAATCTATTAATGTGTATTTTATGGTCCAGAATATGGTCTATCTTGGTGAATGTTCCATGTGACCTTGAGAAAAATGTGTATTCTGCTGTCGTTGGATGGAATATTTGCTAAATGTCAATTAGATCAAGTTGATTGATAATGCTGTTCAGTGCAATTATATCCTTACTGATTTTCTGCCTGCATGAACTATCAATTACTGAAAAAGGGGAGTTGAAGTCTTCAAATGTATTATTGGATTTATCTATATTTTTTTGCAGTCCTATTACATTTTGCCTGATGCATTTTGACAATTGATTTTTAGGTGCATACACATTAAAGATTGTTATGTCTCTTTGGAGAATTGACCTCTTTATCATTATGCAGTACTCTTTGTCACTGATAGCTTTTCTTGTTCTGAAGTTAGTTTTATTTGAAATTAATGTATCTACTCCAGCTTTCTTTTGATTAGTGTTAGTATGGTGTGCTTTTCTCCATCTCTTGACCTTTTCATTTTAATAATTTACTTATTTTTAATGTTTCAACAACTTGATTGATGTGTTTCATATACTTACAATTCACCCACATAAGCCAGAAAACAAAAACAAAAAACATTGTGATCACTTTGCCAAACCCTCATCATCTGCCAGGGCTAGGCAACCACTAATCTACTTTTTGTTTCTGTAGATTTGCCTATTCTGGACATTTCATATATTATATGGCCATACTCATATTTGAATAGAATCATATAGTATGTGTGTTTTTTTGTGAATTACTTCTTTAATATAGCATGTTTTCAAGGTTCAGTAATATTGTAGTATGCATCAGTGCTTCCTTTTTGGTGCTGAGTAGTATTCCATTGTATAAATATACCACTTTTTATTTACCCATTACAATTTATGATTATTTGGATTATTTTCACAATTTGGCTATTCTGAACAATGCTGCTATAAACATTTGTGTATAACTTTTTGTGAGTATACATTTTCATTTTTCTTAACTATATTCCTAGGAGTGGGTTGTTGGATCATGTTGTAACTCTAGTGTAACCTTTGAGGAACTGCCAGACTGTTTTCCACAATGGCTGCACAATTTTATATTCCTCCACAGCATATGAAGGTTTGAATTTCTCCACATCCTTGTTATTGTCTGTTGTTGGTGTTTTTTTGTTTAAGATTTTTATTGGGAAATTGGGGGCGGGGAACCAGCCAAGTTGTTGTTCTTTAATCTTTGTTGTGGAGGGTGCAGATTGCCATCTGGCTTCCCGGTAGCTCGTGGCCTCTAAGCTCAAGGTGCTGTGTTCAATCTTAATTGCAGATGGGCATAGCCACCATCCCATGCGGGAGTCAAACCAGCAGCCTTGTTGTTAAGAGCACATGCTGTATCCTCTGAGCCATCGGGGCAGCAGCTCAGCTCCAGGTGCTGAGTTCAGTCTTAGTTGCTAGTGGGCGTAGCCCTACACTGAACAGGCAATCTTGTTGTTACACCAGCTGAGCCATACTGCCACCTATTGGCAGCTCAGCGACAGCTCAGCTCAGGCTCAGCGTCACCTGCCCATGTGGAAATCGAACTGGCAGCCCTGTTGCTCAGAGCTCATGCTCTTAAGCCAACTCTTAAGCAACTGAGCCACTCAGCTGGCCCTTGTCTGTCTTTTTAATTACTGTGTTGTCATCCTAATGAAGTGTTATCTCACTATGATTTTAACTTGGATTTCCCTTAAGACTGATGATGTTGAGCACCTTTCCATGTGTTTTTGGCTATTTGTATATCTTCTTTGGAGAAATGCCTATTCAGGATCCTTGTCCATTTTTTACTTGCGTTACTTGTCTTTTTACTTTTGAGTTTTAATAACTCTTTACATATTCTAGACACAAGTATCTTATTGAATGTAAGATTTGCAATTTTTTCCTTCCTCTCTGTGGTTTCTTTTCACTTTATTTCTGGTCTCTGTTGAAAAAAGACATTTAAATAATTTTGATGATATTGAGTCTATTGACTTTTCATGTGTTGCTTGTGTTTTGGGTGTCATATCTAAGAAATCATTACCTAATTTAAAGTGGTGAAAATTATCATCTATGTTTTCTTTGAGGAGCTTTATAGTTTTAGCTCTTAAGTTTAGGTCTTTGATCTATTTTGAGTTAACTTTTGTACATGGTGTGAGATAAGGGTTCAACTTCATTCTTTTACATGTGGCCATCCACTTATATCAGTACTATTTGTTGAAAAGACTATTCTTTCCCCCATTGAATGGTTTGACACCCCCGCTGAAGATTAACTGACCTTAAATTTGAAGGTTTATTCTGGATTCTCAAGTTTATTCTCCCCAAACTGGATTTTTTGACTGTTTACTATATTCTAGGCACAATTCATTTACTGCTCATAGTAACTCTGTGAGATGGGCCTCATTCTTACTCCAATTTTATAGATGAAGTAGTGGACATACAGACATTTGTCCAAGACTGACTATACAGCTAGCAAGAAAGTGGCACAACCTGGACATAAACATAGGCCTACTGACTTGAGAGTCTGAACGCTTACGCATGCTATAAAAAGATGGGAACAATCAGAACTTAGAATTCCACTGAAGAGTTGTTCATTTTAAACAAAACAGTCGGAAGTCAGCTTGGCCACTAACTTTGGAAAAGAACAACAGAGTAGGGGCTTTACTAAATTGCTTCCTATTGAGTATTAGACATGGATCTGCTTTTCTTGGTTGAAATCCCTCCACGCCAACTTAAGAATTTATAATTTAACGCTCTACCTTGGTTTCTTGTGCTCCTGGGACAGCGCAAACCCGCGTCAGCATTTACTGCTGAGGGGCAGAGGAGGTGGCGGCCACGCCCACACCCGTGCCTGCAGCCTTTAGGCTCCGCCCCAGCCTCGCGCAGCGGAGCGAATAAAGTGGATGCCTGGGGCGTGAGGGTGCACCGGATGAGGTAGCTCTCGCGGGAAGTTGAGTAGTTACCTTGGCAACGGCGTCGTGGTCTCCAAAGATGGCAGGGCGAAGTCCTGGCCTCAGGGTCAGTTCAGTCTGAATCCTGGGTGGCGAGTGGGTTCCTGGAGGGCCAGAGGATGCCGAACCTCTTTTAACTCCGGGTCTGAAAGTCTTGATCTCTTTTACAGAAACAGACCGCGTCAGGAACTCCGCTCCCGCCACGCATTCAGCAATCTACTACACCTCGACGGGACCTCCTCGCCAAGGAGGAAGAATATAAGTAAGAAGTTTGGCGTTTCAGTTTTTCCTTCTTTCTTTCACTTAATGACGCTGCTTACAAGTACTTTTCCTGGTGATTGGCTGGCTGGACCTTTGCTACTGCTCACTGGCCAGTGTGCTCGTCCGTTATCCGCTCGCTTGCCCTTCTTCATCTTTTTCTCTTTGACTTAAGCTCGTCTGCGTCCTAGAAGGTGTTTGAAGTGGATGGAAATGTAATCCAAGCAAACATGTTCGTCAGTCAGAAGATGCTGCTAGAAGTGGTTTGGATAGCAGGAGTTGCCTCCAATAGTTCCGTTTCTAGTTTAAGAAATTCCACTTAATTTCCAGTTCCTAGAATTAACGTATGTACATTTTTTTAGGCTTTGTCGCTACAATAAATTGAAAGCGTGTTTCTCAGGGCATTTGTAATTACTGTTCTCGTCCACATTTGGTGGAGGTGGGGGAAGGATTTCCTTTCCTTACCGGTTCTCAGTGTAATTACAACTATCCTGACAAAACGTGCTTTTTATTCTTGGACCATTTCTCGCTTCATGCCTCAGTTTTTACACAGATGCCAAAGAGTAATCTTTTAATTTGATCATGCGACTTCCTTGCCTAAGACTTCGCAGTAGTTTCTTTTTGCATTTCCAAAGGCCAGTTAGATTTGGCTCCTGCCTCTTGTTTGATCTTGTGCTGTCTCCTTGTTGTCCACCGCTGTCCAGCCTAACTGGCCTTTTAGTTCCTCAGGCTTTTCC